AATATATAATTACAAGATGTCGAGGCAGCATTGACTGTTGAAAAAAAAACAATTTGATATGCAACATTTGATTATTGGAAATTGGCAAGTGTTGAAGCACACATGCTACCTTGAACACATTACAGCCATACTCTCACATCTTCCTTGTGTTCACAAGGCTAAATTGACCTGATTGATTGATGCAACAGAATCCCAAGGGTATTGAGTGGCTTTGGAGTTCACCGAGACTGCATCAATTGTCAATGCCATTTTCACTAATCTTCCCAGACTAGAGAAGGCTGCTGGCATGCTAGCCGATAAGTTGCCTGCAATGATCCCACCTCTAGGGTAAGGATAGCTCTGCGACCAAGCTGTCACAACTCTGCTAATGAATTGTAGTGCCATGTAAATATCCAGTTCCATCAAAGCAAAGAGAATCTGCAACTTGAAAGATAATATACATATATATAAGAAAGGTTTGTAGTTTTTTATGATAAACTGAAAAAAACTGAACATGAACTTTTCATCCATTCTTAACTTAAACATAATCAGAATTCAAATTTATAGTCAACAACTACCACTTTTATCCAATATTTTCAAATTCATTAAATGATATCCATCAAATATATATTGTTAAGCATATTTTTTGAGTTTAGTTCACATTCATAGAGTGTCTAACAGTTTCTTGATTCCCATATTTGTTAATATTCTTCTTTGCAACATATTTCTCTATTTAATTTATTATCTATCTTAATTAGTTCTTTATTTAATTGAATGATTACATTTATTTTCCTTTTTCTAACTTAGTTAAATAATTATATTGATTTATCAAATTTTGATTTCTTTCTTTGCATCTTTGTAATGAAAGATAATTATAATTATGAGTATAAATATAAAGAAGATGATAATGTTGGTGGTCATTGATATAACATAATTTCATTTGCTTCAAGTTCTAATGATTAAATAGTGGTACTAAAAGACCTTTTAAAAAAGAATTATAAATAAGGAATAATAAGAAACATGTCAAAAAAAAATTTCCAAATATTTATTTTGTCAAATTTTGTCAAATTTTGTCAACTAACATCAATTTCATGCAATTTAAATATTCAAAATATTTATTTAAAAATACTATTAATATTGTAGAGAGCATACATTAAACATCTCTTTTGTAATAACAAATAAATAAAATAAATAATAATCTTTTGATGATTAAATACATTGATGTAAAAGATGGCATGCTTTTAATCATTATCTTTTGTTATTAATAAAGTACTATAATTCTTGGTAGACCTAATGTAAATTAACTTAATATTAACTGTTTTTATATAGGAACAATTCTATATATCACTTAATATTAAAGAAAAAACAAAGGTAACAAACAAATGGAAGATTTTAATAATCACATTACAAATTTTGATCCCTGAAATTCTTGATAATACCAATGTTCACTTTGTCCGGTTTTGTTGCAAATGTCAAAAAGATAATCATAATTCATAATTTAAATACAAATGATATAAATGATGATGTTATTCAAGACAGATAATCATAATTCTAATTTAAATACATACAAATGATGATGTTATTAAGAAGACAATCATAATTCTAATTTAAATTAGAATTATTATCTTCTGTTACTACTTCTGTAAAGTCAATGTTATTATCATCATTTGAGTCAAAGTTATTATTTTCTTCCATTTAGTAATGATAAATAAATAAAAAATTTTCAATGAACAAATTTATATAGGATAAGTTTTTTTTGATTTTCGATAAATGTATAATAATAGATGAAAAGTATATCCGAATTCATCCATTCTGTGATTACTTTTATATAGTAATCTGTACTTTTATATTTTTTTAAAAAAGAGATAAAATCGGTGTAGTCAGATATGCCAATTCCAGTAGTACTTTTACACATGGCAAAAAAGACAATTGAGCAGTCCATACTCTTAGCATTACCCGGGATATCATATCAACAAAATGAAGATGTAACTTTGTAGAGAAAGGTTTAGCTTCAAAATTACATCTTGTTTTTTTTTTGGTCAATGCAATTTTTGCAATGATTCGTTGATTTAGAATTTCTATATTAATATGGCACACCATGCTGGACAAAAGGTATCAGCAATGTTGCAATTTTTTACAACAAATGCTGCGATTTACAACTTTGTTGTCACGCTATTTTTTTAAGATGTAAAAAATGAATGTCGAGAGAAATTTTTTTTAACCGACTAAACTGTTTAAAATTTCCTTATTTATCGCAATACAACTTGTTTATTTACAGTAATTGTAAGTTTTTATAGTAACTAGTAATTGGCAATAGTAATAGCAGATGACTACGTCGCTATACAACATACAAAAAGAAAATTATATTGGTGTTTAAGTGCCAACTACAGTGTTATTACTATTATTATTGTCTGCAGCTGATATTCTGTATTAAAGCTCCGAACGGTTCGGTTTTTCGGTTTACATTGAACCAAAAATTTCAGGTATCCTAAATTCGTTAACTATGCAAAAATAAACATAACATAATAACTTATAATGACTTGTGGCTGAATGTGTGTTGCGAAGTAAAAATGCTGGAAAGATCCTGTTTCTATATACATGTACATGAAGTTATAAAGGATTTTAGACATTTAAAAATCCGTTAAAAAAAAATTTTCACGCGCATACAAATATATTTTTTTAAACCAAATAAAGAATTCATACACAATATCTCTATAACGTAAAATCTTTCTATAATAATAATAATGGACTTCCCTGATTCTTTTTTTATAATTAATTTTTCTCTCTACATTCAGAACTCAACAAGACGATGCTTTGATAAAATAAATATACATGATAAACCAATTTTTATTATTATCTACTCATTAAAAATCATCTCTATAAGCCAATTTTATTAAGGTTTTTAGATTTTTTTGTGACTTCGGTTTAACTAGTTCTGGATGTATAACAAACATCTTCTGTAACGAACAAAGGTGAAAATTCATTGTAGAGAGAGTGAACTTTTCATAATATAAATATGAAGATCTAGCCAAACCGAACTTTTCGGTTTGACTTTTTAGAAACCGAAACCGAACCGTTTGGAGCTTTATTCTGCATTCACCATCTTCATTGACACCTGAATGTCCAAATTGGTATCGTTACTTTTGTTTTTGTGGAGACGACATGCATTATACTCTTACATATCTAGAAATTATTATCATCATAAAAAGAATAAAATAATGGTTTTTAAGTGGCAATAAATTAACACATGATTAAAATTTTGTAGACACGTGATGTCACAGTTGTAAAAACGGGGTTTTCAATGGACAAAAAAAAATATTCACGTAATAATTAAATATGAAATAGGAAAAAAACCATAGTTTTTACTTTTGCTATCCAGCAGAAGTTGATATCCATAGATTCTTACTAGGAGCAAGGAAAATTAAATAGTAACTTTTGCTCCACTAAAAGAAAATTGATTTACATAATAATATTCAAATAAACTTTGTAATTGTATGTATAATAAGAAAAAAACCATATTTACTACTTTTGCCATCCAGCAGAAGTCGATATCCATATACTCTTACATAGCAATTTCTAGGATTCAAAAAATATCATTACTTTTAGGGGGATGTAAATTTACTTTATATTCCCGAAACATTTAATCCAATTCAAATTGAGCATTCATGAGGTTTATTGGAGATGAAGACTTTTTGTGTCATAATCATATTCTATTATCAAACTATTTTTTATATACAATTTAATTGCAGATAAGTAATTTCTTACCATATTATGAATAAAGGCTATTGTTTATATTATAAATTTAAGAAAGACTGTCAAAAACTCTCCCAACTTTTACCAAAAAGCACCTTTTCTAACCAGGCAAATGTAATTTTTATTGAATGGAATATTGACGTCCTATTCATATCTAATTATCAATACTTGTTTTATTAATGCAATTAATTATCCGAGTACAATATAATATTGTGAATGGACATGGATATACTGACAAATATTAATATTAAATATTATTACTTAATTCATAAATAGAAACATTTACGCAAATTTCTTTGAAAGATTTAACATGTCACATTAAAAGCAACAATAGCAGTAATGGTAGCATATGAATAAACTCTTGTGTATATACTGTATCTGTGATTAATGTTACACATTCCCATGTAAATCTTGGTTTTCCTCTAATTTTTGATAAAAGCCTAAATTTTATTTTGTCTTTCGAATAAGAATTATTCGTTTTATTCGTCATTATTATATAGTCATTGTTAATAATATTATGAATTTGAGTATTTGAATTGCATTGAAAGTTTATTCAAATAAAACGAACGATTTGAATAAAATTAATAATTGCTAATTCAATCCAATAGGAAGCATTGAGGCATTACTATAAATTTTGAAAGTATCAAAATATTTGGGTTCAGTTACACGATAATACGAACCTAAAAAAAATATAAATTTATTATTATTATGAATAATTTTAATTTGAATAATTTTAATTCGAGTAAATTTTTTAATTAAGTATAATAATAATAATGAATAAATTTTAATTCAAATAAATTTTTCCTGGTTTTCTTTTTTTGATGCATACACTATTACTATACATGAAGCTCGAATTATTATGACTTTTGACTTGCCGTAATGTCATAATGTCATGTCATAAATATATTTAGACGTTTACTTTCAAATTGTCATAAGTCGTAATGTCATAATCAGGTCGTAATAAGTACAGTAATATACTGGGCAGATAGATATATTGTCAAACATTATCATTTCTTATTATTATAAATTCATCAAAATAGATTGATAATTATGAAATGTTTCTTTGAAAGCTTTGACTTTCTGTTTCTAAATTTTAAACATAATCATCTCAAATAGTTTAAAAGCAGCAGCGATAATATGAAAATTATAATAATAACGGAATATAAGAGATAAATGTCATACTGATTTATATAATTCTTCTCTGATTTTAATAAAAACTAGATTTTATTTTAAAACTTATAAATATTAATATAACAAATAAAATTTGTTTACAAGATTACTGGCACATCAGGCACAGTCGGAATTTCCGGAGTTAGATTATCTGCAGTCGTGTAGCCCATTGATTCAAAAGCAGACTTAAGTTTAGGTCCAATTGCTCCCCCAACATAATTGCCACCATCTTTGATTGCATCCTTCACTCCTCTTCCTGGATTTATCAGATAAACCATTATGAACTCACTCGTTTTTTCATACAAATCTAGACTCACGTGAGTACCGCTTGATCCTGATATGTAAGGTACTAGACTGGTTTCCAAATAATACAATGAATCATTAGCAGTTTTATCTGGTACAATTGTTTTAAAATCCAAGCCTTTTGTTAAGAAAGCCAATGATAAAGGTGTTGTGCTATATTTTAACATCTCAGTCGCTTTTGCATACTGAGGAGACGCTTTAAACTTGGCATAAAAATCATCAAGTGAGTCAAATTGTGTGCCTATTGTTGCAAAAGTATTTAATTCGGCTGTGAAACTGGTTAATGGTGTGCCACTTTCTGATACTATCAAAAACCTATCAAATATACTCTCATAAAAACCATTAAATATTATTGCTGGAGGAGTAGGAGCGTCAATGTAATTGGGATATGGTACCAATTCTATCGCATTATCGACGGAAAAATTTGGACGCCATAATGTCAAAAATCCCAGGCCATGCATAAGTTCGTGTGTCGTCAATAGTACAAATGCTGTCTGTTTTGGAGTAATTGGAGTTACATCGTCTTCAAACCAATATTCTTGATCGGAGTTAAACTCTGCAGTTATGTCAGAAGATAAAAATTCCGGATGTGTTGCAAGTCCGAATTGCTTTACTAATGATTGTGGGTACAGTCTGACCACTCCATCCCCACCCTTCAACCCAATTGATCTGGTTGGCCGTGCAAAACCTAAATAAATAAATGAAAATTAAAATTTTATAAAATCATAATAATAATAATTGTAATTGTCATTGTAATTATTATTGGTATTGTTACCTAATGAAGTTGGTTCTTGTGATTTAAAAGCGATATCTACGGTGATAGGTTCGCTAAATTTTATAACATCAGAAATAATTTTCCCTGTAATGTCCAAGTTTTTTGTAACTTTGTCACAAAAACCTAGTTTTTTTGGAAAATTACAAGTAATATTGAATTTGATCATTTTATCATCTCCAGCTTGATTTTTGACGAATTTTGGCCCTCCTTTAACAAATAAACAGTCAACTCTTTTTATTCCATTTTTGTCATGATCGTAACAACTAGTTATAGTTGGTTGTGCTGGTAAGGAGGAAACATTTGTAATATTCGAAAGTGTCAATAATGATAATAATAATAATAATAATAATAATGGTGCTGGAGAATGATTATTCATTTTGAACAAATCGTTAATTAAAAGATAAGATAAAACTTTCAAGAAGGATTTGATCGAGTGTATTTATATGCGTTAGATGTACGCGTTTTATTTACATATTATCAATGTAATTTGATAAAACCTCTCCATAATTGAAAATATTTTTGAATCACAAAAATTTTTGTGTCAATAGATGATGGATTTCTATTTTTTGAATCGAGTGTATTGTTTATATTTACATGTGTCATCGTATACACATGCGGATCAGAATATTCCATTCATTTTATTTGCATTACAAACTTTTTTTTCAAACTTCAAGATTAATAAACCACGGGTAAGCCTGTTTTTATTTTCATTAAAAAAGATTGCCTAAATTTGAAAAACAAAAATCTATTAATAAAATGAAAACTGGATGAATATTATAAAAAGTAAAAGCTACTATATACGCCACTAAATTTATTTGCATTAGCCTGCTTATTTACGTAACACATTATTTGTTTTGACATTAGCCAATCAAAATGAGGGGTGTGCACTAGTTGTTTAATATATAGCAATAATATAATTTTACTAAATAAATAAAATTTTGAATCTGTTATAGGGAATGTAAATATATTCTAAACAAAGTTGTTTACGATAAGTGGCAAAAATCTTCGGCCGTCAACACCTTCCTTTGAGACGTCAACCTAAAAATGATTGTGTTACGCAAATATGAATTAAAATATGCATTGATGATGATATATTTGCTATCTTTTTTAATTTCTGTGCAACACATCTTTAGTATCAATACTATCATTCATTAATCCATTCTGCTCTAATTTTTAGTGCAATTGGTTTTTCTTCCTTTTCATCCAAGTGGTGTTGCCGCTTCATTACCCAGACCAATACATAATTTTCTTCTATTATTAAAAGCTTTTTTTTATGCTAAATATACAGACAGGTATTAGTATCTACTAGCTTTCTAAAAAAAGTCTGAATCTAATTTAACCAAAAAGAAAAAAGATGTAATACAAAAAAATGTGCATTGTTTATATACCCTTTCCCCCCCACATTCGATTTAAAACCGGTTGCAACCAGTTTTTATTTTTCATTATACAATCAGTGTTAAATGCATCTGTCACAAAGAAAAAAAAATACTAAAATGTATATATGAATGTATGTTGTGAGATTGTGTCCAAGTTCCAACTATCATTGTTTATAATAAAATATTACAATTTCTTCCAATTTATTTTATACTAAATTATAACAACAATTTCCAATTCCTTGCTAGGCAATACTAAACAATCACACTATGTCCTGGTCACGTTTTTTAGTGGGTGCTGTTACTCACTACTCAAGTCAAGTACATTGCTAAATAAGATTTATTAAATATTACTTCATTAAAGAAAAGAAAAAAAAATAATAAATAATAATAAAAATCAGAGACAAATATAAATAAAATAAGAGAAAAATCAATTATACATAAATGGAATTATTATCATTACGAAAATACACAATTCCAAAACAAGGAAGGACAATAACAAGGACAAGATTAAGGTTAAGGACGGTTGGTTATTTAAAGGTTCAATCTAATTTCCTAATTTCCTAAAACTCTAATTAAAGTATTCCGTAAAAATAAACAAACCTTTCTTTTGAATGAAATGTTACTTTCTTGATAATTCCGTGAGTTTGATAATTGTTTATTACTATTACACTTACTTATTAAATTCTTGAACAGTATTTTCCGTGTTGGTTTTTCTTTTCGTGCGACTTTTCGTTTTACTAAATTCGATTTAAACTGGTTCTGATTTTGGAAAGGTGGTTAAACCCGCACTTTCCAACTTAAAATTGATAATTATTATTATTGCATTAATTTATAATAAGGACACAGTCCTTCATCAAAATAGTAATAACGTTTATTTTATTGTAACATATATAATAAATGGTTTTTTGGAATGTACTTTAAACATTCATACTCTAACTATTAATTACTGCTTCTTTTGAAAGAAAATTGATCTAAGCAGATTTGTTTAAGCAAGGGGCAGATTGCATATCATTAAGTGTGGAAACGGGGTCAGGTTTGGGAGAAAGTTCAAAGACATTTTCATCATCTTGCAAAGGCTCAAGGTTTAACACTTGATGAGCGTGAAAAGGATGGTTTTGTAACGATTAATTTTTTTGTTTTTTGAATAGTACAACGGATTTGTATTTCATTTATCATATTTATATTTATTCTCTCCATCATCCCAATTGCATGAAAAACTGTTACGAGATTTTTTATTATTCAATATAATAAAAAAACAAAGAAAATAATTACATTTATTTTACACATAAAAAAAAGCCCTAGAATAACAAACCGAACAGCAACGATCAAAGCATGTTGTTGTTGTTATCTGAGATCGAGGCACTGCACTCGTCATTGTTGTCAGTAGAGATTTGCCATTCATAGTAACCGTGATTTTTTTTCGCGCATAGTGTATATATATCATAGGGAGGGAAATATCATAAATGCGCATATAATAATAAGAAAGTAAATGGTATATTTAATTTTTTTTTAGAAATGTTTATTAATAAGTAAATGTCTATAAAAAATATATCTAAAACCTTATGCGTAGCACACTATGCGTAACACACTATGCGCGGCACATCTCTAGTTGTCAGCGTTTTCAATTGCTAGGTTTGCTAGTTTATGTATCTTTAATTTTGTTTTCATGGATGCTTTGTCTTTTCTTTTTCGTGATGGACTTTTTGATCGTGAACATGATTTCCCGTACAGCCTCTACTAATGTTGTTTGATGAAATGTTATCAAAGTTGTAAAATTATTACGTCAAATTCGTCTTTAAAGGATAATAAAATATAAAAGATCACAAAAAGTCTTGCAAGTATATATTCCAAGGTCTTTTTTTTTATATTTTTCTTGTGTATTCCAATCTCTCCTTTGTTTCATCAGTTGTTCCCAAGGAGCTAAGTTTTTCTATTGCTAAATACAAATTCGTTCAATTATTAAATGATCGGGTAAATTAAATCATCAATTAGGGATTCAATATTTTATGTTTCAGGGTCAACAATTTTATTAACTTTTTATAATTATTATCAAATTACTTTGTAAATAATTATGGAGGTTTTATAATATCAATATTGATTGATTAAGTTAATTTGCAATAATAAACCATATTTATCTTTGTCCTTATTGTAGTGATCAATGAAAATTTCATTAAGGATAACTTCTGGTCTTCTCTTGAAAAAGCATAACTTAAGGGAAATAATAGATAATTAACATTCTAATAACATAAAACTGTGTGATATAATCGATATTTTTATTAAATAAAACTAATTGTTAATAAACTTTTAAAAGTAAAATAAAAACATTGTCTTTATTTTCTTTGTTAAAGCGTTTTGATAAAAGCAACAGTGTAGTTAGTGCCTTGGTAAAAGATAACGATTATGGAGTTTTTGATAAAAGCCACATTTATTTGCTTTAGTGAGCAAGCAAGCAAGGTTAGGACTAACGTTAGTATTAGTGAGAGTTAACAACGCTTAGCAACGCGTCTAGGTGCAGTAATCGAGAACCAAAGTAAGGGCATAAACTAATTAACTGACAAGAGTAGCCAAAAGTTAAATCATAATCGTATGACACCTCATAGTATCATCATTTAACAAGAATCAAAAAAAAGTTATTATTCAAAACATTATTATAATTTAGCTTTGAGAAACAAAGCAAGGATAAAATAAAAAGATAATAAAAAAGATAATAATAAATTTAAATCGATTCTTTCGACCAATTATCACTAGAATCTAATGAATGTTAAATTAATCAATTAATTAATAATGTTAGTAATAATGAAAATTTTATTCGCTTTGTTAACATTCTATAGAAAAAAGTTAAAATCAAGATTATTCAACGAACTATCATTACTTGTATAACTTTTCAAGCTATTAGATTTAGCAATTTCTTCATCTAATATTCTACTTTTATGATATGCATCCGTGTGCTTGTTGCGAAGCACAACTACAAGAAGTAGTAGTATTATTGCTATTATTATCATTATTATTATTATCATCATTATTTTCAAGAATTTCCTTATGTTTATTATCAGCAAATTCCAAAAACCCTCTACTAGTTGGTCTTTTTGATGGATCCACATTCCAACGCCTCTACATCATTTGTGCATAATCTTCAGGCATTCTAGGTAATATTGGTGGTCGTAAACCTTCACATATATCATAAATTAAATGATAATTGTGAGCTCTATCATCAAATGGCGGACAACTTGCAAATATTTCCCACATTAAGATCTAAACACCAACATAGATATCTGATTCTTTTGTGTTCTTTGCATTAATCTTGCCTCTAAGTAACTCGGGTGCAACATATGATACAATTCCATAGATTTTATTTGATGACTTTTCATCAACTGGTCCACATAACCCAAAAACTGTAATATGACAACCACCTCCTTGCAATAATAAATTACCACTATGTAAACCACTATGGATTAAATCTTTTTCATGTGTATCATATAATAAATTGCATAAACATCCAATGATTTTAATTCTGTCTTTTAATGTTAAATTAAATGATTTTTTTGCAAGTAACCCCTTAAATTTCCTTCTTTAGATAATTTATAACCATTGCATAATTTCCATTATCTGGGAATTTAGTTATACCAAAGCATTTAACAACCAACCCTGATTTAATTTTACAATAATTCATTACCTGAAAATAAATATAAATCAATTGGTATTATATATTAGAGTATTGTTTATTTTGTTTTAATGACAACTACCAACCTCATCAAAAAAGGCTTTTCCTGGATTACTTGAATTATTTAAACTTTTTAATACTACTCCCCACCCTGCTGAATAACTAAATTCATTTTTATTTTCATCATAATCATTTATTTGCCCTCTTGTCCATGCAGCAGTATAAATTGAACCAAATCCACCTTCTGTCAACTTTGTTACCTTTTTAGATTGCTCAAAAGGTATCCATTCTAAATATAGCTTGGCAGAGATGATTTCATTTGACAATGTTGAATAAAATCATCAATTATGTTATTTCTAGATGTCCAAGTGGTGAAAAGACTCTGTAATTGTAAATTAATACAACCTTCACAGAATCTATCAGAATATCTTGTTAATTTACACTTGTTACATTCTTTTGGCTTTCCCAATTTATTTTTGCATTCTTTAATTCAAACTCATAAACCTTTCTTTACAAAATTCTTTTGCACCTTCAGAAAAGCTCCTTGTTTTTTTTGACCAATGAAAAAAAATAATCTTTTCTACCAGAATTAACTGCTGCATTATTAAATATAATAGTTTAACATGAGACATTATATAAAAGTATAAAATATAAAATTTCGAGAATAATAATGGTTAAAGAAAGGTTTTCATGTTACAGTTCCTTTCTAAATTTCGTAATTTTTGTGTAGATTTTTAATTCTGATTGGCTAACTTCACATGTGAATTGCGAATTCACATAATTTCATTTTCACGTACAACATATCTATGTATTAATTAAATGATTTCAATTAACTTGATGAAGTTTAATTTGTCACATGCTATAAGAAGCTCTAAAATTTCATCAGTGTAAAGTTTATCTATATTAACAACTCCACTATACATGTATCTTTTATGATTAAATAAATAAAATGGTGAAAATAATATGTTTAAAGGATTTTTTTTTTGATGCGCTTATTATAACCAATTTATTTTAATATCACTTAATCTTACGTCAAAATAACTTTGAATGTTCTTGGAGAAATATTTTCTTTTCAAGTAAAATAATACTGCCATCTTCAGATTTTTTAATCCAAATATTGGACAAAAGCTGCTTTAAAATATGGTAGGGTGGGCTTTAAAAGTATTAACAGCTTGGTCTGCTCCAACTTTAATTTCTACATCATGAAAATCTGATTCACTCAACAATTTTGTCAAATAATCTAATAGTTTATTGACATATTTTAATGGTGAACTATCTTGGTTAAAATTTATTATGAAGTTGTGTTAAGTAAGAGTGTAATGTTTTCGAAAAACTTTTATTATTAGATATTTAGAATAATTTTTTTTGTATTTACCAGATTATTGATTTGCTATTTATATTTCTGCGAAATTGGTCATCATCATCATTGTTGATAATAAAAAATAAAAAATATACTAAATTTAATACATTTTATTAACGTCCAATACTAGGAGTGATTTAAAATTCAAATTAGCCGATCCAAAATTCTATTTCACACGATTTTTAAATTAATATCCGAACCTTTTGGCTAATTCATTTTTATCATTAGGAAGTTGCACAAATTTAACATAAACATTGAATTCTCCACCAAAACAACCAATTAAACAAAAAAGTGCATGGTTTATAGCTAAAGTCCTCATGCAAATTCAACTAGTGATAATTAGTAATTCATGTTCTATTTTTTACATTAATAGAATAATCAAACAAACTTATTCTTTTTTAAGATTGAATAACCAGGAAGCAATTGAACTAAGGTTTTCAGTCCAAATTATTTTTGAATAGTTTGGACTTCTCAATACTATTTTAATTCGCCCGATTTCAGCTATATATTAATAAAAAATAGTTGGGCTTATAAAAAATTAATTTTTGTCCAAAGTGTTTTGGCCATAGAAGTTTGCCTAAACTAAATCGTGATGATGCTGAACTCAGGAAATAGTTTGAAACTCAGTTACTTTGTCAAAACTTAATCACTGTGCCAAAACTCAAACACTGTGCCGAAACTATAATTTGTTGCCGAAACTTCAATTTTTGTTGAAACTATTTTATAATGATTAGACATTTTCTTTTGAAACAAATTAATTATTGTTGAAATAAAGAAATTTTATTATTATTGTAAAACATTTAATTTATTATTATGTAGAAGGTGTTATAATTCTTTGGTATCAACAAAGGGTAAGTTTGGTTAGGTGTTTGCTTTGGCAGATTTTGATGTCGTTAGAAAATGTACTAGTTGAATATCAAATTCTGGATTATTATCTTCTTAATCTAAGTCTATGATTTCCAAATCTGAAAATCTTCATTAGCTATGTAAACACTCTTATTATTCTCACAAAGCAAACAATGAATAGATTACCCAAAGAACACAACTTTATTGATAATATATTTAAGAAGATACTCTCATGCCTTCATTTTCAATTTTGTAATTTGTAGATGATTCTCTCCAAAAATTTTTTATAACATAAAAAAAGATTTCTTTTCGGCAATCTTCTTGATTAAGTTTAATATTAAGGACAGGATAATATCTTTTATTATTATTTTTATTTTATTATTTGAATGTGCGCATCTATAATCAATGAAATTATTACCAATTATGTATCTGTAGGTTTAGTTTCGGCAAAAATAATTATGCCTAAAATTTCAGCATTTTGCTTGCTTGAAAACGAAACTAAATTTTTTAATTTGCCGAAACTATTGCTGAAATTTAGTAGTAGTTTTGGCAATTTTGGCTACTAAAGTATGCAGTTTCAATCAGAAATTTTAAATGGAACCCATACTTTGTCTTCACTTTCTAAATCGGGATCCATGTCTTTAGGGATTTTTAGCCATAGTGAATGATGTGCTTCCATTGCATTCAATTAATATGAATTATCACAGTTTATTTTGTTTAAAGGACAATTTATTATTTATTTATACCATTGTTTACTTGATATTTTCAAATGTTAAATAAATAAAATTTTATTATGTTATAATATTCTTTTTACATCATAAGAAATTCCAAGTAATGTTAGACTTTTACTAAGTAAATGAAACTTTACTAAGTAGCAAATAACTTTAGAGTAGTAATAATTTGGAGTGATTTAAAGTCAGTTACTATGAGATTAGGATGGTGGTTCTTTACAAGAAATTAAATGCATAATTTTATTAAGCGATCTGCAACATTATAAAACAAGAACCTTGAATTCCGAGGAAATCTCTGATGTTGATGTAAATTAAATTTTATTTACTTTAATTAATGAAACTAACATCGATAATAATGATAAAGGAAGTGATGTATAAATGGTCAAAGTGACTGACCAAACTGACGAGTTTGATGGAAAAGCATTAAGGTAATATGTTACATATTATTAATAGTTATTAATAAATAACTAATTAAAATTTTTACTGGTAAAATTTATTTTAGTATAAATTAGTTGAGGTCAAGGATGGATATTATTACAAACTGAAGATGATTGTTAATGTTATTATTTGAAATATTTTGCATTGTTTTTCTGAATTGGAAAATTTTTTTTTAGAATTTATGATGTTGATGAATTGTTAATGGATGATTAATTAATATATTATTTATATATTTATTTGTTATCATTATCAATATTTATTTTATTATTTTTAAAACAAATCAATTTTCCTAAATAAAATGTTTAGGTTTTTGTGTTCAGTATAATTCAGTGATTGTATCTTTGGAATAATCAAAAAATAATTCATATAGCTAGCTGTCTTATCACTTTTGATGACTGTTTGTGGTCAATATTTTAAGAGATGTAGGAGGGCTTTTAAAGTCTCAGAAGATAATACTTTGAAATCATTACATGAACTTAGCTATGTGTGGTTCGGCAGGATTCATTTGTTGATATATATTATAAATATAACTAGTGTTCCCTGTTGCAATCCAAAAAAAGAAACAAACAAAATGGTTGTAAAGGTGGTTGCAATCATTTTTATATGACGCAAAGATGGTAGCAACCATCATCAAAAGTTGCAGCCAGTATTCTTAGAATAAACATACTTGATGTAAGAAAGAAGCATACTCAATCTCTACAGAAAATTTGCATTCGGAAGTTCCATATGAATTATAATTTTTATTGCTATGGAATGGTTATTATAAGCTATACGAAATTTTTACGGAAAAAATTATAAAGCAATAATAATAATAATTTTTTATTGCTATTTATAAAGTAATACATGTCATGAGAAAAAATGTATCAAATTAACTGAAATTACTATAACTCAGTCAATATCTGGCTGTTTTGGATAAAAACAACTGCCACTCGAATTCTCTCAATGAAGTGTCTAATTCATACAATTCGAATCACTAGTTAGTGAGATATTTTTGTTTACTGTATATCGTTATGAACATTAAAACACCATTATATTACCCTTACGATACTATTCTAAAAGCCATGTTTCATTAAGTTGGATCATTGGATATGACATAATTTCAACCATTTTGACTTCATGTGTAGTATAAACATGTAAAGTGATTAATAATACTGTAGTCTTCGCCTCATATTTATCTGCTAACACTTTAATTGAAGCTGATATCATCTAAAAATATAAGATAGCATGTAATAAAAAACAATGTTATGTAAAATAGTTAAAAATGATTTTTTTTTGATTTTTGTTCAAATTAAATCATCAAAGAATATAATAATAAGATCAGCAGTACGCAGTAAATATATATAAAAAATACAATATTTATTCACCAATAGTGTTTGTATTCATGATATTCGATATTCATAAAACGATCGACATGATATTCGAATATCATGAATATTATCCGAATATCATGAATATCATGAATATCATTATATTATATGTGTAACCAAGACAATATTTATAATTTATTAATAAAAAAAATAATAAAATAATACAAACAATAAAATGAAAAACAAGGAATAGAGAATTATTAAACGAATATTCAACATTTTAATTGGTTACATTAAAGAATTTCGTTTTAAGAAAATGATTTTGGAAACAAAGTCAGGTGACAATCTATTTCTACTAGGTGTTATATGATTTCCCACATCAGAAAATAAACGTTCTGAAGGAACTGATGTTGCACTCATGCAAAGATATTTTCTTGCTAGTTTTGACATAATAGGCAAC